GAAAATGCCACATTGAGAGCAAGTTCACACTCTTTCATAGCACCGAGGCAGTTTGGCTCCTCTGGGGTAACGAGATGGAGAAAAGGGAGCAAAGAGGCAGAGTGAAAAGAGAGACGTTGTGGTTTAAACCAACTCAGTTCCTATGGAGCTGCATTGATATTTGACGGTTCTGCAGCACACGATTTATACCCATTGCCGATGTAGAAGTATTTGCCCCTGCACTTGACGTCAAAGCCTGTAGCTGTCAGTTGCTATAGTGGCAGGCACAAATTAATCTCTTAATGGTCCCTCAAGCATAAATATTAAAATCCTTAGAGGACCAGTGTGTAGACTTTATTGGCTTCTACAGTAAGTGTGCAGAGGAACCAATGGTCTTCAAGTCCATATTTGCCACTAAAATCAAGCTGCCACTTAAAAACTTAAAGTTTACAATTGGTCGTTTTTGGCTACTGCATAAAGAAGGCAGTGTTACATTGAAGACTAATTTGAAGAAGACCATATATATATATATATATGAATACAGAAAAACAAACTAAGATTATTTTAATAATTGGATTTAGAATTCAAAGGTTAAATGTCTTTGAGAGTGTAGCCCTTACATCAAACATTTTATTGTTATTTTGTAAGTTTTCTATTTGTTTCTATCTTTTGTTCTTTCTTTTATTGAAAACATTAAACATACAGACATTAAGCAAGTACTGGACATTTCAAAAAACAATCAAAGGTATCCAATGTGATAAAAAAAAAAAGGTATACATTAAATGAATAATTACATTTGAAATATATAATAAACAAATTAAACAAAGTATCTATAAAATAATAAATACAAAATAACATCATCAAATATATATATACTTGTAGGCCATGGGAAATGTACCAATTGGAAGTTCTACATTTTGGATCTAACAAAGACTGAATATATAGTAAGCTATATAAGAATGTAAGTGTTTAGTTTTACACCCGCAATTATTGATGTACTCATTTACAAATATCCAGTATAAGTCTTTACTTTTATCTATGTGTTGTTGTTATCTAGTATATGTATTGTTTTCCAGTGCACAACTATTTTTTAACAAAATGTAATTTTTCTGTGTTGTCAATAAAGCTACTTTGAATAAGTCAATCAGATGGCGCCTGCTCGGCAGTGTCTCAAGTGCGTGTTTGCGGGCAAGTTGCAATAACTAATGCAGGTGGTCATAATATTATACATCCATGGTTTCGATTGACGAGCTGTTAGCAAACTATAAAAAAGTGACGTTATTGTTCAGGAAACACTAAGTTTCCATTATAAGTAATGTTAAGAAGGACTTTTGAGTTGAGCGTGTATAGCTTTGTGCTAAGGTGGACCTTTTAATAAAAGCATGTCGTGCTCGTCGAAGTTGGTAAGTGATGACAAACAATTTGTGACATTAATTAAAAGTACGCCATTAGGGGTCAAAGCTAAAGGCTAGGTTAGGATACAGTACAGTTAGCTTACCCCCAGGTAGTTAATACAACGCTTGAGCATATTATGCAACTTCAATGTTTGTACAATTGCTTCGGCAAGGTTAGCTGGTAAACATGGAAGTGTTGTCAAAAATATCTTTGTGCTAGCCTGGTGATTAGAAATTGATACAAGTTTAATTGGCCTAGCCTGATATTAAATGTCCTATTGCTAGGTTTGAACTGGTGACAAGACAATGTGTGAAATGTGTATGTAGATATTGTAGTTTATTGTGCGCGTTAATAATTCGTTTTTGAAATGTTTCAAGATAATTGATTTTTACTTTATATCCTATAGACAATAGTTAACTAAGTTGATTTATGCTGATAATGGGATCTTTCTTATGTTTTGACTCAGTGAATGGTAAGAATGTGCTAAATGTAGTAATATTGTTATCGTAGTTTGTCCAAAAAGCACTTTCCCCTTCGTCATTACCAGTTTAGAAGTGTAGTGCTCCATGGAGAAAAGTAAGAGTCTGGATGGTAGTGTTGGATATTTATCTAGGATAATGATTTTTCTCTAGGAGCTGAGTTTCATTTTCATACCCGTGACCATGTCTTAACAATATTTGCTGGGCATGTTTGTAAGATTATTGCACAGTTCTCCACTATTGACTTTCTGTTTGGGGAATAGCTTTATAAACAGAGGTGATTGAGGCATGTGTTTAATCAGTGTTGTGGTTCTTTGTGTGTAAGAAAGAGGGCTAGCACAGTGAAACTGAATAGCTTGATCTGAATGTAATGTTGTCCCATCTGCTCATAGCTGTAGAAAAAAGTATTCTGCATGATAGAAACACCTCAGAAAATTAATTACTGAATCTCTGTACATTTTACTTTTACATTGTATCATTTAAATTTGCAGTGCTGAAGTCCTAAAACACAACTGTAAAACGTTTTTGGAAAACGAAATACGTAAAAATATATGTTTTTAAATGATGATTTTTGACTACCCTTAAACTTAAAACAAAAACAAAAAAATACAATTAGCACGATACCCTAATGTGCTGCACACAGACTCACAGTTTGGAGATTGAGAGCCTGGACCACAGTGAATGTAAATGGCTGCTGTTACAGCAGCTATACAGTATCCTTAGCTACTCACTCTCTTTCTCGTTGTCTCTCTTTCTCACCCACTCACTCTCTCTCTTCCATGTAGAACTCTTTAATTACTTGCCAATTGAACACCGTGGAGATGGATAGACTCAGTCCTATTACCCAGTACACATGGCGGGCGCACACTCAAAAATATATCATTAGAAAATAGAATACGAGAGGAGTAGAGTTGGCATTGACTAAGCGGGGGGAAAGGGAGCAAAGAGGATGAATTTTTTCTCTTTGGAGCTGAAATCAATGTGTGAGATAAGGCTGTTTTAGGATTCTATCAGATGATGCAGAGGATCATCGTCTCACAATGGGAAGGCTTCCCCCATTGCTGTGTCAGCAGGCTCCGATTACAGTGGCTTTTTGTTGTGTTTCAAACTGTTTCATCATGCTCCCCCCCACTTTTGCACTTGGTATGCAGCACTGGCAATTTGTACGTGTTTGGATTCCAATTATGGAGTTGTTAAAGCTTTTTCGCCTGTGGCCTGCAAATTCTTATTAATCCATACATTAAAGAGCACAGAATCACATTTAAATGGAGTTCATGTTTACCTTTTGTTTGCCAGTGTTGACGTTGTTTTTAATTTATTCACAATGCCCTATGCATTACACATTAACAAATAAATCGTGTTTGCGATTGTAATGCAAAATACGTGTTTCTTATTCAGAGATAGGGCGAGCATTTGTCAAGTAAACCAACAAACAACAAGCCCAGAGAGAGCGAAAAAAGAGGGGAAAACAACTACCAAAATGGAGCCATTCCCTCCTATTACCCTCAACCATTTGAGGAACAAACAAACAAACCCACAACAACAATGACATTTCCAGTCTTGGTATTTCCTTACTAGCTGACGCAGAAGAGAAAAGGAGAATTGGACAGCAGTCTGAGTGATTGAATGATTTTCTTGGTGGCCATTGGAAATCATTAGGTTAGGGTTGCAGGGACAAGGCTGTACCGTGACAGCAGTGCCACAGTCACACCTCAAAGGTCACGACCCTGGACAGATTCCATTACTATCTGTCTTTCTCATACTGAAAAGCTTGGCAGGGCGCAGACTGACTGTCCTAAACAAAAGGACAAGCTTTATAAACAAAAATAATTGAATGGGATTAAGATAAGAGTGGGCAAATCATTTCTGTGTATGGGCAGGTGTTTGCAGGACTTTACACACATGCGCTGACACCTTAGGCTTTAAGCAGGAAGGCAAAACAGGTTACAGGTCGATCAATAGATCAATAACTGACATGGCATTTTAACCCTCCTTTTTGATGCAGTCCGGCATAGGTTACAGTGGAGCCATCCCCTAAGTACTAGAGTGTCCGGAACATCGGAAAAAGATACAAATACATGCATGCGACAGACATGCATAGTAAACGTTTAGATGTGTACAAATGTTCTGATATTATGCAACCAGACACCAGATTGGAATATTGTCCGTGAAAAGACGCTTAATACATCACCACCCACTGAATACATTTAGCTGTTGAAATGAGATCCAAAATGCAGTGGCTGCTAATAAACTATCGTCGGAGTGGCAGAAATATGATGCATGGTAACCCATATGAACCTCATTAATAGAACACAAGCAAATCTATTTATTCAGACAGTCAGGGGGAAAATGATAGCCTCAATACTCCATCTGGTTTCTCTCCATCTTTTTTCTCTACTCCTCTTCTCTTCTTTATATATTCAGTGATTTTGACAGATGTTGTGTGTGTGTGTGCACGCATGGAAGCATTCACCCTGGAGAGTTTTAACACCACGTCCTGTCCTCCCATCTTCTCTGTCAGTATCTCCCTCCTTCCTGTATCTCTACATATCCCTTCTTCTCTCTTTTTCTACCCCCCAATACTCAGTCCTGCAGTCCTGGTTCTTTTGTCTCCGCTGCTGTCACAACCATTCAGGGTGGGAGCGCTGGCCAGGCTGCTAGGAGCTTTTGACAGGACATGGCACGAGCGATGGGGAGGCTGGACAGGCCGGGCATTTCATCCAAATAATTCACAGCTCATCTCCTACTTTATTATTGTGGTGTTGTTTTTTTCTCCTCTCCTCTTTGCCACCTGGGGAAAATGTCCACATATATCCTGGGGTATTGCACGGTTGCCTGTTTTCATTCACTTGCTCTGTTTATTCCAAGAAATGTTAGTTTTTGTGTTTTCACTAACTCAATAGAGCCTCTTCGCAGAACTAGTTTCTTAATTGTGTTAATTGCTCAGTATCTGGATCTCATTATATTGAAACAGGCCAAACACCATTTTCTTATTTTCCAATAGCTTTGGAATTTGATTACAGTCCATATATTCTTGTTGGGATTTCTTTAAAACTGTTCCCTGTTGTCCACAGTTTTTGTTTGTTTAACTATGTTGTTGAGTTCTGTGTGACTTATACATGTATATGTGGTGTACCTCTGTTGCAGGTTGTGCATTCCTCACCTATTGTGCCCGAGAGTCGGCCATCAAAGCCCAGAACGCCCTCCACGAACAGAAAACACTTCCAGGGGTAAGTGTCTGTCTCTCCATCCTTCTCTCCTCCCTTTCTTTTCTCACTCTCTCTTTCCTCTCTATGGTGGTCAACCATGCCATCTGCACCCTACTGCACACCAGCCGGCATTCTCCTTGTATAGTCCCAGAGATGAAAAACACTTTGGAGAGCAATTCAATCAATAGCTCAGCCTTTTAAAGGCCTGGCTTCAACTTTTCCATGTGTCTGTTCTCTAGGGGATATCGCCAGCATTGATCAGACCCACTCTGACTCACACTTTTGAAGCAATAGCATTGAATGACCGTTTTTGGGGGGCAAAGCTCTGCATTTCTGTTTGGTGTTATCAACAGAAAGTTGTCCAGTGTTCTAGGGCCAATGACTGTGGGCTCTGGATGGGAATGAAGTGTGTGTGTGTGTGTGTGTGTGTGTGTGTGTGTGTGTGTGTGTGTGTGTGTGTGTGTGTGTGTGTGTGTGTGTGTGTGTGTCACAAGAAGCCTGTCAGACAGAGGAATGGCGCAGCTCGCGGCACCCAGTACGTTACAGTGGGAACATTCGCTTTGCGGTAGAGCAGCATGTTGTCCCGCCGTAGATCCATCCCGCCAGCTGATGGCAGCAATGCCCAAAGCTAATTGGTGCCCCCACTTGTTACTTGATCGTGGATGCTGCAGTATTTTCAGACAGGTAAAATAACTAAATACATTTAAAGCTAGATGGGTTGCCAAATATACTTGGACATGTTAATATTTTATTGATAATGTGTTATGAGAAAAAATATCGTCTTAGATTTGGTTATTGTGATATGTGTTGTCTTTTTCTTCGTTTTAAAAGCTTTCTTACAGTAAAGTGATGTTATTTTGAATATCATTGTATATATATACCAGGGTTTCCCACACATAGACTTTACTTGGGCGGACCCGCCCAGGTATATTAACGGCCGCCAAAGTATATTTCGCGACCCATTTAGTTTTTAGTTTTTTTTATCCATCCGCGAGCACGACGCCATCTGCGATCGATTAACTAGTGGACGATGATCCCTCGCTGTACGCCTCCTGTACCTGTTCGCTCTGCTATCGCGTGAAGGGTCTGCTAACAAGCAACCAACAGAAAAGGAGACCTTACAAGAAACAGAGAAGACGACGTAAACATAGTTTTTTTCAGAGCAGTGTGTGTGCATCAGAACACCCCCCGGCTACCACCACAAGTGTATTTCAGATTTGTGGGATACACTGTATACTTCATTAAACCACCAATATTTAACTTTACACCTCGATATTGAGGTTTTTGATCAAAAACAGATGCTCAATATCGGCAAGCTCTAGATATTCTTAGGTGATACATTTTAAGTGTTAAAAATACTGCAGTCATAAGATATGAGATTTGATAAAGAGAAAATCACGTGTTACATATTCAATTGTGCTAGGTATTAAAATGATTGCAATTATCTCTCCCTCATTGTTTGGTGATTATGCATTTGTGTGCGATTATGTTCACCTGTGCATAGCTGTATCTGTTCGGGTGGAAAGAATATCAGGAACAGACCGAGGGATTCTTACACACAAAGAACCAAAGTGGCTCCCCGCAGAGGCAGTGGGGTCTCGCATGGTTAGATTTAGCCTACACCAGAAGTAAACATCAGTAGATCCCCTCCCCTCACCCCAAACACCCCCTCTTATAGAAGACAAAGAGCCTGAGAAGCCCAGCCAAAAGGCACACGTTTCAGTTAAACATGCAAATGCAACGACAACAAACTTTGAACATTTTTTTCTTGTGGCTTTTTTTAAAAACACGTTGTTTCGTTTATCCTGCAAATTAGCCAAGCGCCAGGCTGGAGGGCGTTAATCATTTTTTTCCCTCTGAATTTAAATAATAAGACGGAAAGAGGAAAAAGTTATTTCACATAATGCCAGAGGATGTGATCATCAGAGATTATAACTGTAATCAGCAATGTGTATTCAATTGTTTTGGTGCATTATCAGGCTTTCCTGTGAGTTTCTTTCCTCACGTCTCAGTCATTAATAACTACCATAAGGGTTGACCTACTTTACCACTGGGAATATATGGTCCATGTGGCTGAATGTATAAAAGATAGGCATGAGGGCACATATTTGCTAACAAGTCTGCTCTTGCCTGCAACCCCTTCTCGCTCTGGATCAGTGCAGGAAAATACACCAAAAATGTAATTCAATAATTTTGCAGCCATGATACATAGAGAATGTGCAGATTCAGCAAACACAGCCTGGCATGTTCCTATTCTACTCAAAAGTTCCGAACGGTTACATTTTTGAGCGTACACAATCGCAGACACTTTCACCAACTTTGCCTTGTACCACTCAGGGAAAAAAAAGGCTTTTCTTGTACCCTTCAGTCGTGCTTTAGCCCTCCTGTTGACTTCCCCTCCCTACCCCACCTAGACCTGTCCACCCCACATCCTCTCGTCTCCCCTCTCTCCCGTTGCTGATATGCCGCTGCTCTTCCTGAGACAGAGCGTGTCATAGAAATGTAACAGGGAGACGTTGATGGGTGTCAGGCGTCACAGGCGAGGCTGCTCTGCTGTTCCCTTCAGCTTCACTCACACACAAACAGCAGCGGTCCAAGGAAACAGAGTGCATGCTATAATACTGCATCCACATATTCTGTTCACCTACTGATGGACCTACAGCTGAGGAGAAATTGACCTACAAAGAGCATTTTAATTTGAAAACAAATCTACAATATAGAGCTGTACTAAATAGTTGCATTTCTAGTCATTAAGTTTAAACCGTGTATTTCTGTTCGGTTGCAGATTAAGCTGAAATTATTCGTATAACACACTGACTTCAGTAATGTTCGCATAGGATGTTTACACCCCTTAATCCATACATTTCTTATAACTCCAGAGTGTTATAGTCCCAAAGTCATAATGTATTGAAAAAATATAGACTTTTACAATTTCACAAACATAGTTTTATCAAAAAAAAAAAAAAAAAAAAGTTCTGCTTCTGTCCATACAGTATGTGTTTCGTTAGCCTTTACAATACAGTATTACTCCTGCTCTCATGCTTGCCTCAAAAAAAGGGAGGACCACACATGTGTGTTAAGGGGCAGTCTAGCAGCAATCTAACAGCACAATACATTACATTAACATAACCACCGTTTTTTTTAAGGGTTAAGTCTTAATTAACTACAACAACAGCCATTTTAGGATTCATTTCAAAACCTCAATAGAAGCTACAAATGTCAGATGACCTTTACAGCCGAACTACATTATATCAACATAAAATATCATACAGCACACTTTGCATTGAATGCCCTGCTGCATTGTGTTTCTGTATGTGTGTACAAATATGTTTGTGCATTTGACTACCTCCCGTCGCCTCACTTGTCCTTCCCTCTTGAGCCTCCCTGTTCCTAAATGTTTTGCGATATGACCCCTGTTGCTTCACTGCTTGATGGTAAGTAGATATGCCAGTTGTTTGTTTGCAAAATGCTGCTTGATATGCAGTTTGCCAGGGGCTACGCTGTAATTAATGTAAACTAGGAGTTCTCCAGAGATGAGTTATGAGTTATTAACGTCTGAGTTTCTCATTAACCCCTGTATTGCTGCTCTCTCGCAGAGGGCTTGGACCGATGTGGTTGGTTACCTATTATTTTAAAATATTCTGAATTAATGTCAGACCACCATCCTGCTGGACTTGTTGCTAATGAGCAGAACCTGGGAGGAAAATTGTGAAATATAACAAGCTATTGTGAATCTCATGCAGGGATCTTTGCTTGAATACAGAGCACAAATATACCCGTCCGCATACACACATACAAGCATTCACATGGACACCAACATGAACACACTTGAGTTTCATGAGATGAATTTCTGTGCAATTCTTTAGCTGGAAGGCCTGGGATTACACCCGGTCTGCTGTAATGTTAATGAGCAAAACGTGAAATCCCTGTTTACTGCAAAATAAAATTATTCAAATACTAAGTTAGAGATTATTTTAGTCATAGTATAGTGATAGTTCTAACCCTAATATTTAAGTCATGGTTGATTTGTTATCACCTCTGGTTACTGTTGGGAATGGGAAGTGCATGCAAACATAATAAACCCAAATGAACTGTTGGCTCAAATGTTAGTTTAATACACTGAAGGACACAATCAACGGAGTATACGGCATGTGAAGTGAACTCATGATCAAAGGTTGTTCTTTTGTATTCTGCATCAACTTTGGTACATGCTTGGCTTCTTTTCTTTGTTGTGTGTTAGCACTTCACCTGCAGGAAATGCGTACGGCTCTATAGAGATGCAATTAAAGAAACACCAACTCAATAGGCGCGTTCACCCCAAGTACTTTTCCCACAAAGGTTCCTGAGAACTACGATTTAGTTGCGTTCACACCAAAAAGTCCCAGGGACTAAATTAGTTCTAGAGAACCTTTTTTACCGAAAAAGGTTCCTGTGTCTGATTGGCTGGGCGGAATGCAAACCACGCCCCGTCAAACTCCCAAAAACTTTTGTGAAGCTGCCATTTTATTATCCTCGCATTGCATTATTAGCATTAGCATGGGAGTCCCAGCAACTTCTACTGAAGCCAGTCCCCAACTCCGGGGACTTCCGGCCGGGGATATTGGGCGGCAGTATACGCCGTGAAGTTGTTTGCGGCCTGCCAGTAAACCCAAAGCAGAAGAAGAAGAAGTGACGTCAGCGGCTTCATTGGCCTAATCCACCCCCAGGAACTAATTTCCGGTGTGAACGCGATCTGTACTTATTTCATGAGAATTAAAGAGTTCTCAGGAACCTTTGTGGGAAAAGTACTTGGTGTGAACGCGCCTAATGGATTTATTGTTAAAAATAATCTTACTTTTAAGAATTTAATTTTTAGTTAAAAGTATCACATGATTGTTTTACGATAGCAGATGCTATCATGCAGGTACTAGTTGCCACGCACGCACGCACACAAACACAAACACACAACCCAGTGTCCTCTTATTAACTGTAGGAAGGGCTTGTGTTCTTGGACGTTATTATCCATGTTCCCCTGTTACACA